AGCCGTGTTAGTCTGAATCTGCAAAAGCGACGAGGAGTCCTGTGGCACCTTATAGACTAACTGAAGTGTAGGATCATAAGCTTTCGTGGGCAAAGACCTACATGCATCTGACGAAGTGGGTCTTTGCCCACGAAAGCTTATGCTCCTACACTTCAGTTAGTCTATAAGGTGCCACAGGACTCCTTGTCACTTTTAAAGATTTAAATGTATTTTTTCTAGTTCACCCTGAACAGTTACTTTTTATTAAAGATGACCCACCATTCACATTCCCTCTTTTGGAAATGTACTATTACACCCATAAACAACCCCCTTTCCTCTCTCAGCCCCATGCTAACTCCTCTCTCTTGCCCTTCTTAGACCTCCATTCTCCCCTTCTTAAGTCATAGCCTTCTGCTCAGCTTCCCCTACTCCCCTAGGTTTTGCTTTCCCAGCCCTGCCTCCTTCTGCAGCCCTTACCATCCCCTCTCTATTTACAGCTGAGCCTATGATCACTATCAGGCTGCTGTCTGGTTACTAGCTCCAGCCCAGATCCTGCTCCCCATGCTGCTGCCCAGGAAAAGTGAAAGTAGGATCCAGGTAACTGCAGTAGCACAGAGGAACTGCCCAGAAACAGCAAATGGACAATCAGCAGCTTGTATGTGCATTGAAGTTGCTTCCCCCATGCTGCTGCCACCCAGATCCCACTTCTTATTCTGCTGTCCATGGGAAGCGAGAGCGGGTGGGTGTGAGCCAGACAGCCATCCTAGAACCTTTCCAGACTGTACTAGTAGGCTGGGGCCCACCATTTGGGAAACAAGAACATTAGATAATAAACAGTTTTTATAACTGAAGATACAACTATTTCTTTGTTCGATGCATGAGCTTTCATTCATGAAAAGTCTTGAATAATAATAATAATAATACTATTTTTAAATAGCAAGTTTGACTTAGTCTAAAACAAGGATGTTTTCTCCCATTCATTTTGTGGAAACAACTCAATCAGTGATGGACTCCTTTCACAAAATGTTCTGGATACTGGAATTTTTGATTGCCATTCATGGTCTATCTAGAACTGCCTATTAATATGGTGTGCTGAAGCATTTTGCAGTCCTGGAAAGTGCATCACTATAAGGGAAACTAATACCCTCCTGGCACAGAGGAGATAACCAGGCTTCCCTCAGCCAATAAAACACAGCTGTCAAATTGACAGTCACAATTTGTGACATCAGTCCTTGAAGCACTGGTAGAAATGCTGAACAGGCGTACAGAATTACCCTGAGCTCTAGTAAGTATGCAGTTGAGTTTCCTGACAGGTCCATAGACTGCAGATCTGAAAATGGTAGAAGTGAGCTTTTCCCAGGTAGAGGCATCTGTAAATAGAAGTCTTTGGTGAGAAGGGTAAGGAGAAGAGACTTTTCACATCTGGTTGGGATCTTTCCACCAATTCAGAGTGTAACTGCACTATCATATCCATGTAGTAGCTATTTGGAAGGAATATGACTTCAGGCACCACAGTATGCAAAAAAGTGAAGTCTGAAATGGTGCATGATGTTTGCAGAAAACCTTGTGACTGACCAGACATAAGCAAGCTCTCACAGAAACGCATGCATGAGTCTGCAATTAGTTGAGGATTACCATGATATCGAACATGTCCTGAGGCAGATAGTGCCTTGTTGCCATTAAGTTTTATCCTGGCTCCTATGAAGTCTATTCTCTATATTGGCACCCATGGAAGGCATCTCTCTGTTGAATTTTAGGCCCAGTGCGACGAAGTTAAGAATTTGATTTACGGAAGTCTTCAAGTTGCTGTGGTAAGCAAATAGCCCAATACACTATGGATACAGAGACGCAAGGAGATAGCACCAGGAATCATTCTGGAGGTTGGTGCAACTGATGGTACCTACCAGATGTTCTTTGCTGGAGCCAATAAAGCTTCAATCAATCACTAGTAATGCCAGGCTTGTGGTATGGAGTATAATTAGGAGTATAGGAGTAATTCTGTACCACCTGCACAGGAGTCTTAAGCGAATCCACTATGCATCAGAGCAAATCCTGGGAGCTTTTATACTCACCTGTGTTGCAGGATACTAATTTTATATTTATATATATAATTTGTTAGTCTCTAAGGTGCCACAGAACTGCTAGTTTTTAAAGTTGCAGACTAACACAGCTACTCCTCTGACACAAAGATAATGAGACAGCAGCTATCTGGTCTGCTCTACCATAAAAAATGCTTTTCCTCCCATATCTCTTGACTTGAACGGCAACCTAAGACACTCAAGATGTGTAGAAAACTACTAACTCCAGAAAGCAAGTGCAGATGAAGGTAGTCTAGTGTGTTGTGAGAAGTGTGCCACACCAAAAAAACACTGTGTTGTGAGAAGTGTCTCATGGGTTCATGACAATGGAAATGATGGTGTAGCAGTGATCATTATTAAGGGATGCCTTCTAGAGGAGTGATTCTCCTCACCCGGCCTAAAACTTTAGCAGAGTACTCAGTAGCCCTATCAGAGTCTACAGCTGGGATAGACTTGGAAGATGGAACCTGCAAGCTAGAGCAAGAGCCCATCAAAGCATATTTGGAATCAAAGTAAACTAGTCCAAGGCAGCCACATAAAATGATCTAAAATAAAAACTTTGAGATGAAGCTGTCTAGCCTTCTGCAATCTTTTCAAAAGGATCTGCAGATGGAACATATATGGGGAATGTGCTCCTCTCCAAAGCAACTGGAACATTATGTGTGGCATAGTTAAGAAGCATAGCTGCTCTGCAGAGGGGGCAGACTTCAAAGCTTCAAGGCTTTGTTTCAGTAATGGCCAAGTCTGGGTACTGAGGAAATATTTTCCCTGTAGACTGCTCACTGGCATTTCTATTACATATGCTACTAAACCTAACACTAAAATATTATAGTAAAAAAGACTTGCCAAGTATGTAGAGAATCAGAAATTGTTAGAGCTCTGTCTCATAGCTATGGAATGGGATCCATTTTGCCATTTATACCCTCCACACAGGTGCAAAGACACTCAGGGATCATTTGTAACCGTAACAGACACTGTTGGCTATAAGATTCTGATCAAGCATATGAAGTCGCAAGCACCAGACATAGAATGCATTTGGAAAAATCACTCAAAGAAAAACCTCATTTAATGTATTAGTAATGTATTAGTGGGGGCATCTTTTAAAATGTGTTAAACTGGGCTGGCTGCTGTCAGATATAGGCTACTGCACAAGACAGGTCAATGAATGAGTCAAACCAAACCATGAGTCAATTCAGTACAGCAATTCCTAAGTTCCTAAATCGCTTCATTTTTTAAAAATGCATCTCAATATGCAACTCCAAAAGGGAAGGTTACCCACCCTGTGCAGTAACTGGAGTTCTTCGAGATGGTTGTCCCCATGGGTGCTCCACCTTTAGGTGCACCACAGTCACTGCGCCCACCAGTTGGAGCTTCTTGGTAGCAATGCCCTCTCGGCTGGCCGCGTGTGCGAGGCTCAGGTGCACGGTGCCTGGAGTGTGTAATGCACATGGGTGGCCAGCTGGCTCCTCCAACAGAATCCAAAACAGTGGGGAGAAGGATGGGTGGTGGAGCACCCATGAGGACAACCATCTCAAAGAACTCCAGTTACTGCACAGGGTGAGTAACCTTCCCTTCTTCTTCAAGGAGTGCCCCTGGGGGTGCTCCACTTTTAGGTGACTACAGAGCAGTATAAATGCTTGGAGGTGGGACCTTTGAAAGGCTTGTTTCGGCTACTGAAAGTACTGAGTGGCCGAACAGAGCGAGACTGTCTGCATACAATTGGATGGCACAGTGATGAGTAAAAGTGTGAGCAGAAGTCCAGGTGGCTGCTCTTCAGATCTCAGCCGTGGGGATACTACGGAGGAAGGCTGTGGAGGTGGCCATTGCCCTCGTGCAATGGGCACACACAGCCAAAGGAGGCTGTTTGGTGAATATGGCATAAGCCAATCCTATACAATCTGAAATCCACTTGGACAGTCTCTGTTTGAAGATCGGTAGTCCCTGAGATCTCTCTATGGAAGAGATGAAAAAGCAAGGTGTTTTGCAAAACGGACGTGTTCACTGCAAGTAAAAGGCCACCGCCCTGTGGACATTGAGAGTATGGAGAGACTTTTAACTGTCGTTGCCATGAGGTTTGGGGAAGACGACAGGTAAATTGGTTCATTACAATGAAATGAGGTAAATACTTTGGGAAGGAATTTAGGATGGATCTGTAGGACCACCTTGTCTTTGTGGAAGACTGTATAGGGCAGGTCTGTCATAAACGAGCCCAACTCGCCCACCCTTCATACTGAGGTAATAGCTACAAGGAAGGCTACCTTCATGGATAGATGGAGAAGGAAGCATGTAGCTAGTGGTTCAAACTGTTTGCCCATTAATGCCCTTAGCATGAGATTAAGGTCCCATGTGGGGACTGATTCTTTAGTTGGTGGGAATGTATTGTGTAAATCTCACAGAAATATCTTGATTGATGGATGAGTAAAAACGGAATGATCCTGTATGGGCGGGTGGAATGCAGATATGGCTGCAAGGTAGGCCTTCATAGAGCTGACGGATAGACCGGAGCTGTGAAGGTGTATTAAGTAGGTGATTATGAGTGGGATTCCCATCTGCATGGGAGTGCAGTGTTGAGCAAAGCACCGGCTAGAAAAACGCTGCCATTTTTGAGCGTAGGTTTTCCTCGTTGCAGGTCTATGGTTGTTTGTGAGATTAGTTTGAACTTTTGGAGGACACTGGATCTCTGTCATGGTTAGCCAGCAAGAAGCCATGTGTGCAGGGGAAGATACTCGATGGAAGGGTGGCAAATCTTCCCGTTCTGTTGCGGAACAGGGAGGAAGAGATGTGGGAGATGCCTAGCCATGTGTAGAAGAGCTGGATACCAAATCTGTCTGGGTGACCACGGCGCTAGCAGAATCACTTTGATTCTGTCCTGTTTTATTTTGAGTATCACTCTCTGGATGAGAAGGATTGGTGGAAATGAGTATGCTAGAGGTGCGTCCAAGATGATGCTGAACGCGTGCCCCAAAGAACCCGGGCCCAATCCCACTCTGGAACAATACTGCGGGCACCGTGAATTCCTGTGTGTGACAAAAGAGGTCTAACGTAGGGAACCCCCATCTAGGGAAGAGATGGTTGATGGATGCTCTGTTGATCTCCCACTTGTGATTCAGGGAGAAGTTTATGCTGAGGTCATCTGCTAACATATTGTCTGTACCTAGGATATATGGGGCTATAAGGTGGATGTGACGAGGGATGCACCATTTCCATAACTGTAATGCCTCCCAACAGAGATGGCAAGAATGGACACCACCCTGCTTGTTGATGTAGTGCATTGTTGTCGTGTTGTCCATCAGTATGTGGATGGTATTGTTGTGTATTATCTGGGAGAAGTGCATGAATGCATACTGGATTGCTCTGAGCTCAAGCAAGTTGATGTGTTTGCTTTCCTCATCTGGTGTCCACATGGCTTGAACTACCTGGTCCTGCAAATGAGCCCCTCAGCCTGTTCAAGAGACATCTGTGGTAACTGAAAGGGTTGTGGGGTTGCATTGAAAGGGGACCCCTCCTGCATATACACATTCTGTGTCAACCAGGTAAGAGAGACTTTTATCCTGCCTGGCATGCTGAGAGACTTGTTCAATGGGAGTGCATGCGGCCTGTACGCTGTCCTGAGCCATGTCTGCATAGGTCTCATGTGCAGGCATGCATAACGCACCACAAAGGTGGTGGCTGCCATTTGGCCAAGGAGGCACAGGCACTGCCTGGCGATTATACAGGGACTGAGCTGTGCCAGATGCACCAAGTCTTGAATTGCTGCGAATCTGGACTGTGGATGCGATGCTATCACGGTTTCATAGTCCAGGTGTGCCCCTATGAAGTCCAGTGTCTGTGTTGGGAGCACTTCGTCAGGTTTATGCATAGCCTGAGTCTGTCAAATAATGCCCTGGGAACTGTCACTACCTGTTGCGTATGGTAAGACGAGGG